TAATGGATCTAAGAAGAGTTCATGATTTTCAGTTTGTTCAGCTATTTTCTTGTTGAGACTGGACTGATTTTCAAACTCTTCACATGCCACCCGGAAACTAGAAGTCCGCCTCATACATCCAATTGATCTTTCCCTGTAGTTCTTCTGGCAACAACTCCAAGTGAGATCATATGTGTTATTTGTAGATACATGGCAAGAAAACAGTTTTTCTCTCTTTTTTCTTTTCTATTAAAAACAAAATGTAGGATATTAACCACATAATCTGTAGTATAGGTGATATCATCTATCACTTTCTATGCCAAAAAAAAAAATTCTGTGGCTATCACAAGTATCTGGTTTTATATTTTAGTTTTCCATGGTTGGCTTTTTCGTTGAATGCTTGTTTAGAAGATGAGCAACAGACTTTATTTTATTTTGTATTAAGGCCTTTGTTTCTTTAAAAAAAATGTTATTGCAGTAATCCATGTCTAAATAGATGGTTTGCACTTTGCCACATTTGTCTGTTAAGCAGACAAAAAGGTATTTCTGCCCACCTTATCACAATTTAAAGAACCTTCCTTTTATAAATGTATTTCATTCAAGAAGAAAAGAAAATGCCTTTCAATGAGGGCTTTTCCTCCATAAAGAGTATATAATGAGAATTACTATAACAGTATTTTCTTTGCTATAAATGGTATCATTTTAAAGGCATTATAGGGCATTTTTTTACTCAAAAAAGTCATTAGACTGGATATGCAGTTTTCAGATATAAATGATATAAACAAGCTCTCTGGCCTTAGGAAAGAAAAAGATTGGTACATTTTAACTTATTATGGAATTTTTGTATCTTTTTAGGCTACTGGCATGGCTAGAGTTTTATGATTTTTTTATTGATTTAATTTTTTGTTTTTTAAGAAAAGCAAAGGAGAAAAGATAATGGGACAAAGGACATGGGTTTTATGTCCAGAAATTTATCATCTTAAACTCTTTTTTAGTTGTGTGTCATTATGAATGGAATCTAGTACAATCAATTAAATGTATAAAATTGAGAAATTAAGAGTTCTAAGCAAAGCAGTATACTTTTGAAATTGTACTGCCCTTATGGTTCTCTTTCTGGTCTGACACTGACAGGCCAATTGTGTTGCTCATTCAACTTCATTTTGAGAAAGTAAGAGTTGTATCAGATTACTATGCCCCTTTAAGCACTAGGCTTTTAAAGATTACAGTGTTAATTATTTGCCATATGATTGCTTATTCCCTAAAATGCCTTTTTTTGGGGGGAGGGGGCGAGGTTTGAGTTCTTTTTTCTTTGAAGCTGGGACTACAGACTCACACTACAACACCTGACTAATTTTCTAGTTTTAGTAGAAACAGGGTCTCGTAGTTGCTCAGGCTGGTGTTGAACTCATAAGCTAAAGCAATCCTCCTGCCTTGGCCTGCCAGCGTGTTTGGATTATAGGCATGAGCCACCTCACCCAGCCCCATATAATGTTTTTAAGACTCTTTTATAGATGAAATTAGGCAAAGACTCAAAAAATTTGATTGAGATCAAAATAATCAAGGCATAATCAATCATGAAGTAACAATAAGCTAAAGTTGCTCTTTTCAATAAAATAAGAAATGAAATACTTAACACTAAACCCTATTGTTGTTCAGTTAATCTTTCCTGAGAAAATTAGCAATGTTCTTCTAGATTAGGGGTCAACAAAATTTTTCCATAAAGGGCCAGATTGTGAATATTTTAGTCCTTGTGTGATATAAACGGTTTCTGTTACCTAGTCTTTTTTTTTTTTTAATGACTTTAAAATGTAAAAATGGGCCGGGTGCGGTGGCTCACGCCTGTAATCCTAGCACTCTGGGAGGCCAAGGCGGGCGGATTGCTTGAGCTCAGGAGTTCAAAACCAGCCTGAGCAAGAGGGAGATCCCCTCTCTACTATAAATAGAAAGAAATTAATTGGCCAACTAATATAGAAGAAAAAAAATTAGCCGGGCAGTAGGATTGCTTGAGCCCAGGAGTTTGAGGTTGCTGTAAGCTAGGCTGACGCCATGGCACTCACTGTAGCCTGGGCAACAAAGTGAGACTCTGTCTAGACAGACAGGACAGACACGAACAGACAGACAGACAGGCAGAACGATAGATAGATACATAGATACGAAAATAAAATAAAATAAAATAAAATGTAAAAATGATCTTTAGCCCCTGGGCTATCGAAGAGCAGCCTTGGGCTAGATTTTGGCAGTAGCTTGCTGACCTCTGATGTAGGTAATCCACTGGAAAACATTGTTTAAACTTACTAAGGTTACTCAGGAACCTAAATAGGATTTGAACAGAGAATATTAATTTCTTGAGAGAAAGAGGTTTTTGTATATCATATATCTTAGTCTCTATTAAAAATAATGGAACTTAGATAAAAGCAAAAAAACAGTGCTATATATGTATGATATTTGCATAAACCAAAGACTACTTTTTATTTTTATTTTTTTTTTTTTTTACCTTCCCAAGCAGAGGTAATCAAAGACTACTTTTTAAAGCTGAATAAATGTGTGACAGCTTCTTAAAACAACAGAAATTCTTAACTTGTGAACCATGGAATTGATAGGCTTCTTAAGGGGAGTCTACCAGGTCTCCAAACAAAATTTTATGTAAAATTTTAAGATAACTACACGTTTCCATAGCTTTCGTCACATTCTCAAAGATTTATATGACCCCAAAGATTAATAATACTGTTAAAAGTACTTTTAATCAGTCATCCCATACATGCACAATTTACATCTCTTTTGGTTTCGTGTCAGTTAATGACAAACAATGTAGTGTGAAGCTTTGTAGGAGTGGAGGCCAGGTCAGTCAGTAAGGGGATGTCAGTTTTTGTCTAGAGATGAGTAGCCATGCTCTCGTAGGCAGTACAGTTGCTGATAGGTGTACCACAGACAAGCAGTAGCAAATGCAGGCATAGAAGAGACCAGATATTTTGGGTACAAGCCATAAGAGCAGAGGAATCAGGTTTAAGGCAGCTGAAACAAACTTCTCCAAGGGATTTGGTTATGGTCACTGCCAGTTTTTATGAAATTAAGTCATACACAAGACAGTTCTCATCTCATGTTTGTCTTCTTCGGTCCACCTTGAATTTCTTCTAATATTGCATCAGACAACTGGATTTTTTTTCTTATAGTAAAATACATATAGCAAAATTTACCACTTTAATCACTTGTAAATATACAGTTTGGTGGCAGTAAACACTTTCATATTGTGCTACCACCACCATCTATCCACAGAACTCTTCATTTTGTGAAACTACAACTTGAATTGTAGTTTTACAAGAGAGTCAGGGTTTTGCTTTGTCACCTAGGCTAAAGTGCACTGGTGCAGTCATAGCTTACTGTAGCCTTGAACTCCTGGGCTCAAAGCCATCCTCCTGCCTCAGCTAATTTTTTAATTTTTTTTTAGAGATAGGATCTCAACATGTGCCCTGGCTGTCTCAAGCTCCTGGCTTCAAGTGATACTCCTGACTCTCCCAAAGTGCTGGGATTGATTATAGGCATGAGCCACTGTGTTCACCTTCTAATTTCTATCTCTGTGAATTTGACTATTCTAGGCACCTCATGTCAATAAAATCAATATACATTATTTGCCCTTTTCTGTCTAACATATTTTACATAACATAATGTCCTCAAGATTCATCCCTGTTGCAGTATGTGTCAAAATTTTCTTCCTTTTTAAGGCTGAATAATATTCCATTGTGTGTATATACCACATTTTGTTTATCCATTCCTCCACTGATGGACACTTGGGTGGCTTCCACATTTTATCTGTTGGGAATGATTCTGTGATGAACGTGGGCATACAAGTATCTCTAAGGTTCTGTTTTCAATTGTTTTGGACATATATCCAGAAGTGGAATTGCTGAATCATATAGTAGTTCTATTTTTAATTTTTCAAGGAACTCTGCTATACTGTTTTCTATAGTGGCTACATCATTTTCATTCCTACCAATAGTGTACACAGGTTCCAATTTTTCTGTCTTTATCAACACTTTTTATCTTCTGTTCACAGTAAATAATTACTGAGATGGTCAAATCACTCCTTTAGTATGCCAACAGAAGGAATTAGTTGGTCATGTATAGCAAAATGCCAAGTTATCAGTAATTTTTCTGTATATAGTATTAAATTTGATTAAAAAGAATTTTTAGCCATTTTTTTCCCAACATCAAATTGTTTGTTTTTTGGCTGGGTGAGGTGGCTCATGCCTGTGATCCTAACAAGCTGGGAGGCCAAGGCTGGAGGATCACTTGAGCTCAGGTGTTCAACACCAGCCTGAGCAAGAGGGAGACCCCGTCTCTACTAAAGATAGAAAAATTAGCCCGGCGTGGTGGTGTGCGTCTGTAGTTCCAGCTACTCGGGAGTCTGAGGTAGGAGGATCACTTGAGCCCAGGAGATTGAGGTTGCTGTGAGCTAGGCTGATGCTGTGGTACTCTACTCAGGGCAACAGAATAAGACCCTGTCTCAAAAAACTAAAAAATTTTGTGTTTTTAATTAATTTATATTTGTTGTGTTTTTAAAAATCTGTTTTAGAGAAGATTTGCGTTTCATATGTGTATTAGGATACTTCCCCAACATAGGTAGAACAGGATTCTCACTGAGTTCATTAATGGAGTACTAAACATTCATATATTCTATTTGATAGATATGGAAGAGTAATAAATACCAAACTATTAGCAGTTGAAGAAAAGCATCTAAAGAGACAGTGTGGGCTTAAACTGGTTGGGTGGGTGTGTACCTGTTACTTTCTAACTATCTGATTTTGGCAAGCTGAGCTTATATAAAATGGACAGTAATAGTAATGACCCTTAAAAATATTACAATGATAAATATAAGATCTTATAAAAATCTAAGAAATGTATAGAGAAGTCTTCCATCTTTAAGAAACTGTAAGTATTATTTTGATAACAAAAAGTTTCATTTATAGTAGGTATGTTCTTAAATAATTGTTTCTATAAATAACTGCTTTACTTTTTATTAAAAGGCATGGCTTTGGGAAGAAGACAAGAATTTGAGATCTGGAGTGAGGAAATATGGAGAGGGAAACTGGACTAAAATACTATTACATTATAAATTCAACAATCGCACAAGTGTCATGTTAAAAGACAGGTGGAGGACTATGAAGAAACTAAAACTGATTTGCTCAGACAGTGAAGACTGAATGTGTTTGTAAAGCTTGATAAAGGGACAGTTAAATATTTTGATCACTGCATTTCGTTTGAAACTTGCTGGTCATTAATGTGTCTTAACATTTTTTGTTTAAAGCATTACAGTATTTTTCTGTGATAGTCAATGTGAGGGTTTGTGCTATAAGAGTAAAATTATATGCCATCATTGTATTCTTTAAGAATCTTTTTATTTTGATAAAATGTGCATTTGTTGAACCTTGTCACATTCAATATCCCTATCCCCAAATCCTGTTCCAATAAAAAAATTAAAACCTGGTAAGAGAAAATAATAATATTTCTCTTAACTTATTCTGTATCTATGCTTTGACCATAACCCTGTAATACACATAAAAATGAATATTCTAAATCATTGTATAGTAGTCCTTTGATATGAGATAATGACTTGATTTATGGCCTTACTGTATCACTTGAGAACTAAGATATTTACTAACAGAATGATAAATTTACAAAGTAATGTGTAAGTATAGCATACTTAAGTTTTCCTTTTAATAGTTTCATATAAAGGAAAAAACTAGAAAATAGTAATTCCCATAGGACAAAATTTGTCCTATTAACAAGAAGAGCTTTGTGTCTCATTCAGGAATAAGGTTTGACTTTTGTTTCCAGTGTTAACTTTGACAAAGGTGGTGTTGAATAAAGTTTCTTTATAACCTGATGCCATAAATACCAGGTTCTCTGATATCTTCATTTAATATGAATATTGGGGCTAAATACTATTCTGTAAATGCTTAAATTGGTATTAACCATGATCATCTTGACATCCACAGTAAATAATAAGGTTTTATGTACCTTATATACTAGACAATTTTGAGTTTTCACCAACATTTTATATTTTAGATTAGATTAACAATTATTTAGCATTTTGAGTTATATGTGTTTTATTTAACAAGTGAAAATATTGAAATGTTTGCATAAAAACTGAAATGGTAGTATTTTGTAATATCCTGTTAAAGTTTTATCCGTTACTTTTCTCATTGTTCCTGAATTTATGTTGCCCTATATGTATAGTAAACAGAGACATGGATAATTATTATACTATATGTTTCCTGAGTCTGTCCTGTTACACTGCAAGATACTATCACTGTGTTTATTGCAGACATTTTGATGATTAGTGTCAAAGCTGGCATCATTAGTCAATATAGACTTGTAAGTCAACTTCCTCATTTCAAGCACATAAATCACCAAATTTAAGTTGCCATTAATTATGAGATCTTATTTCATGTACCAGTAAAAAAGAAAAATCATTATCATTATGCTTCAGTATGGTACTTTCTCACTTAGAATTTTATTCTACTGATTAAAAAAGCTATTTTAGATTTATTTAAACAAGAGTTTTTAATGATTTTGGGAGGGAGTAGAGATGGGGTCTTGCTGTGTTGGCTACACTGGTCTCAAACTCCTGGTATCAAGTCATCCTCAAGCCTTGGCTTCCCAAAGTGCTGGGATTACAGCTGTGAGCCACTGTGCCCAGACTTAAACATAAGATTTTCTTTTTAATTAAAAAAATTTTTTTTCTGGTTCTAAATTTTCAGCATTCAAGGATTTTTATATATAACTTGTAGACACATAAAAAGGAAATTACAATCAAAATAAACTGAGTAATATATTCCTAAAACTTCTTCATCTCCAGCCTGAATCTTCAGAATTACTTTTTTTAAATTGGAATTTTTATTGAGATAATTACAGATTCATAGGCAGTTGTAAGAAATATAGAGATTCCTTGTACACTTGGCCCAGTTTCCCCCAATTTTAATATTTTGCAAAACTCAATCACTACCAGGATATTGATACATTTCATCCATCCTATTTCCCCAGTTTTGTACTCTGTATTTAGTTCTAACAGTTTTGTCACTTGTGTTTTTATATCCACCACCACAGGCAAGATACTGAACAGGTCCAACACCACAAGGATCCCTCTCATTGCTCCTTTATAACCACACTCACCTCCCTCCTGCATCCTTCCCCTGACCCCTGGTAGCCACCAATCTATCCTCTATAAAATGTAATAATTTAAAAATGTTAAGAGAGTGACACCACCAAAAATAGCACAGTAGGGAGTTCCAAAGAGCTTATCTTTCCAGTGAAGCAACTAATAATCTGGCAAAAACCTAGAATCAACTTTTTGGAACTCTGGTATCTAATAAAAACAACCAGGGGAATGTTTAGTGAAGGGAGAGGTTATTACATTTTGGTAAATGAGTTTTGATGTTTTTACTTACCCACCTACCATTTTTCACTAACCTCTTGGCAGCAGCTGTGGCCTGCATTCCTGGTGCAGCCTGGTGGTGCCAGAGGGGTCAATATATATCTTGTTCTCACAGAAATGTAGGTGTGCATTTTGACCTTGGCACTTCCTTGAGGTTCACCTCAGAGATTTGCTTTTGTTTTGCCTTCTCTAGACTGCACTAACCTCACAAGCAATGTTTGTCAAAAGCATTTAAAGGCACTATCTGCAGCTACCTGGGGCCAGGGATAGCAGATGGGGCATGCAGCAAATAGACCAAAAAGCCTGGGAGGGAAAGTCTGGGGAGGAAGATTGTTAAGGCTCTGAGGAGCTCTCATATATACTAGGAAGACTGGACGTGCACACACATGCCTAGGACTGGATACGTTTTCAGAAAAGACCTAGGCATGACCTATGACTGGTCTTTAGGTTCCATGTAAGGAGGGGGTGAAGGGTAAGGCAGAGTTGTAGGTGACCTGGCTAAGAACAAATCTGCAAAGCCTGAAAGAGTATCTTTTGTTCTTTTGGACTTGTGACATTTAAGGAAATGAAGTGAAATGTTGTATATATTCTTTGCCATCTTTTCTTTCACTCTACATATATTTGTACAGTTCAAGTTGTATGTAGCTGTAGTTTATTTCCATGCCATAATCCATTATATGATTATATCATTTATGCTATTGGTGAGCATTTGAGTTGTAAAAATAAAGTTGTGTAAACAAATGAGAACAGAGACTATTTATTCTAAGCTTGCTATAGCAAGGGAATCAGCCACAATCTCTTGTTATTGGTAGAGACTCAAAGGCAGGCATGTTTATAGTGGGAAAACTTTATGGTGAATGGAAGACCTGGGGAAGGCTTCAGTCATGCTCTGGTTGGAGGGTGTTGGCATGAGAAAGAGGCTGACCCACTAGGGGCAAGCATCTTACGTGATTGAGGGAATATATTTGGCTTTCCCTGATTGGTGCTGACTTGGAAGTGGGGACAAAACGTTAAAAGGTAAGCAGTTGCTAAGTCCTGACCATTCTGAGCGGATCACTGCAGAGATCGTGGTTTGACTTCCAGGACTGGTTGCTGCAGAGGTTGTGGGTCAGGGTCCTATTGTCACATGGGGTCTGCCCATTGTCCCCTTATGTAGGAATAATATTAACCATACACGACAAGTTAGGTATGAATACTGTAATCCCTAGAGCGACCATTTTTTACAAAATACAGATAAATAAAAATAAAATATAGTCAATAGAGAAATTAAAATGGGATACTAAAATTACTCAAATAATCCAAAAACAGGAGGGAAGCAAAAAACCACAGAGACAAAAAGAAAAAAGAAGATGGTACATCTAAATCCAAACATCAATAATTGCATTAAATGTTAATGTTTTAAGCCAAGGGATAGGCAAACGTTTTCTGTAAAGAGCCACACAGTAAATATTTTAGGCCCTGTGGGCCATACAGTCTCTGTGTACTCTGCCTGGAATTAGCCACAGACAATATATATAAATGAGTGAGTATGGCTGTGTTCCAATCAAACTATATTTACAAAAACAGCATGCTGGGCTTAGCCTACAGGCTATAGTTTGCTGACCCCTGCTGTTGAGTTCTAGATTTTGTTTCCTTCTGTTAAAATGTGTTGGACTTCATTCTGGCAGGCAATTACTCCTGAATCTGAGAACTTCTTTTAATTCTCTTTTTTCCCCCCAGGTTTGGAAGTTTCCAAGTTTGCAACCACTTTTAAACTAAATTAACAGGTTGCTTTTTCACAACCAGCTTGGTAATGAGAATGCAGGCTGCAAATGCACAGGACAGCTGACTGGTGACAAACTCTTAGCCCCAATGTTTGGATTAATTTCTGGTTTAAACTTCACCTGTGAATATAGTGTTTCCGTGTCCTCATGTAATTATTCCCACCTCAGTCTGACCTTGAGCTTTGACTTCTGGCCCCCTTGATGAAGCAGAGAGGACGATGAAGTATGGAGTGTAAAAGGGCTCCCATTCCTCCAAGGCTAAAATTCAGGCCTCTTCAAAGAGGACCTGCCTGATGCTGGAACACAGCCTGTTGGTGGGGAAGAAACGGACCCGAGGGTGCAGCCAGAGCTGATATGGAATAGCAACACGCCATGGTGTGGGTGGGTGGGAGGTGGCCAGGGGCGTAGCCAGAACTCATCCTGTGGCTCCCCGGTGGGATGGCAGTGAGAGAGAACCAGAACTGGAAGGAAATAGTCTTCCTGTCACCATCACTCCAGAGTCCTCTTTGTCAATAAAGCTGAACAGTTATCACAGTAAGTCATGTTTGCAGAGCCCAGTCCGTGTCTAGCTATCACAAAGCAGGGCAAAGAAGGGTAGATTTGGAGCTGAGAGCCATTAAATTGATAATCAGTTCATAAGGTGCTTTTAGTTTTTCCAACTTACCCCCTCCTACGCCCACATCCCCCTTCATATGTCAAAATACTTTTAATATTAAAGTAAATCTTCCTTTAAATCTACCCTGTGTTGAAAGGGCAAAGATAGAAGACAATTTGAGTAAAGAAATGTGATGTTGTATAGGATTTACAACTCTCAAAGGAAGAGTACTAATTTTTCAGGGTTTTTATGTTATTTACAAGAGATAATTATTTAAAGAGAAAATTATTTTTTTCCTTTCTTCATGAATCCTTAAGGAACTCACATCCATCTTACCCTTTAGAAATCTGTGTAGTGCTCTGCTTTGCTTTGCATGGGGTATCTCATTTAACTCCTGCAAAGCCCTAAGGCATAAGCAGAACTGTGTCGTGAATTGCATGCCACAGATGAGGAATCAAACTCCAGTTATTTTGACTTGCCCAAAATCGACTTGGCAAGTGACAGAACTTTTTATTTATTTGGTAATATTCCACAATTAAAACGTTTCATTCTTCAAGCAGAATTCTCTTCCCCTTTATGCTGTACATGTTGGTGTGCTCACTATAAGGAAATCCAGGTCAGGGATCTCAACACCAGTGGAGCTCTGCACAGGACAGTAGAATGTACGGGAATTCCTCAAAATGCACCTATGATCCAA